AAACCACTTACATGGCAAGTGAAGACCAAATTGCAGATGTTTTCAGAAAAGCCTTAGGTCAAGTCTTATTTCACACGCTTCTTCACAAGTTAGGCGCTCTCTATATTCACGCTCCAACTTGGGGGGCAGTATTAAAGGAAAGATCCCGTATTGATTCTTGACCATATCCCACAATTTGTTACCCATATCCCATGATTTGTTACCTGTTTATTATCCAAATCAGTTAGGATAGTTTACTATTATAATCAATTGTAATTATTAGGATGATTGCTTTCACACTTACAATTGTCCTATATATTGTCTTGTAAATTCTCATTGAAAGATATACAAAAATTATTTACGAACTTTTCTTCTCCCAATTACAGTAAAACCTCTCTATAGTCATAATGATGGAACCAACTAATTTTATTACTATGAGGAGATTATAACTTAATGGATTTGTACTTACAAAAATTATAATTTTGATTTCTTATTTTTTAATTCATGTTTTAGTAGTACAATATTAGGATTTCAATTCATATTTTAGTAGTATTAAGATTTCAATTCAGCGCTTCAATTACCTATTTTTGAAATGGATAGAAAATTGTGTCTTAGAACCAACAAAGATAAGTGTCATTGATGGAACTATAAATGCAGTTGATGCATGGTCAATTGATGTAAAGCCATAGACAATTATCAATGGTTTTAAGCATTGCAAAATTAGGACCCTTGATTTCGATGAATTACAAGTTACAAATAAAGTAGACGAGGAAAATAAAATAGTCATTGCAAAATTGAGTGATCAGATTCGACAATTTCACTACACTAATCGAATGGATATTAATGTTTTCCTCGATCATCCAAATGAGCGACAAATCGTGTATGCTTTAACCGAAGAAGAAATCATTGCTACAATTAGACAAGAAGATAAAGGAAATAATCATAAAGATGATAGTATGGAAATACAGAAAGTTTCATGTCATGAAGCTCTAAATATGCTTGAAAAGCTAAAAATATTTTGCTTCAACAAGAATGTGTCTATGCTAGCAAGTTATTACATACTAGCAAGGTACAAGAAGTGATAACAACTCTAAAATATAAATCATTATCTCAAACAACTTTAGATAAATATTTTATTTCATCTTAAACCTATAATATAACATAAAATATACTTTTTGATAATATACAGATAATTATTACTATGTGAAGACAATTTTTCTTAAGATGGGAATTAGAAAAATTATAACTTATTACAATGTGGAATTTATTCTTATTTATAACTATCCTAAATTGGGACTAGAATTTTTTATGACTATGTAGAGTTTATTCATATAGAGGGGGCGTTTGGATCATATAATGTTTTTTTATCTTAGTAATAAGATTACCGGAAAAAAAGATTACATTGTAGATTACCGGGTTTAAATTATTAGTGCACTTGGTTCAATTGGGATGTATTAATAATTAATGTGTTCGGTTAATAGTAATAACAGATATCCTGAAATACCTTTTACTAAAATGCCCTTTAGATGATTACTAAATATAAATAATTAAGGGCTTGTTTGTTTTATTATTTGAAACCTTATTCTTTATCTTATTCCCAAAATACTTATTTGTTTAATTATTTTGGGAAATACTATTCTATTTTTTTAATTACTTTTAGACCCCTTAAGTTTATTAACTTAATTAAACACCCCTAGAAAAGAAAAGTTTAAAAATTAACAAAAACAACCCCACCCACCCATAGTTGCCAGATTCCGGCAACCACCGTCAGTGGTGACTGAAATATGTCACAACGGCCTAAAAACGACCAAAAATGGTCGTTTATTCACCGATCTTGCCTTTTCTTGCCAGATCCGTGGTGGATCTGGCCTTTTTCGACAGTCGACGACCAGATCTGGCCTTAGATCTGGCCTTTTCCGGCCAGATCCATGGTGGATCTGGCCGAAAAAGGCCAGATCGGTGAATAAACGGCCAGATTTGACCACTCTGAGTCGTAACGGCAAATTCCGACCAGATTCCGACAGTGGTGGCCAGAATCTGGCACTGTGGTGGTGGGGGTGTTTTGTCATTTTACAAATTGGGTGTTTTGTAATTATTAACCGAGCCTAGGATATTTTCGTCTGCATAATATACTGTTTAGGGGCAAGATTGGACAGAAATTATGATTACCCGGTAACGTTTTAATAACAGCCCCCCATGAGGTACAAATATTCCCGACAATTTACCCCCCTTTGAGCACTGTTTGTCATCTTTTTTTCCCGTAAAATTNAGGCCTCCTAGTAATTAAATGCATCAATCATGAAAATATGCACAGAATAATATTCAATACTCAAACACGAAAATTGAAAGAAAAAATAACATTGATTAGATGTCACAGTTGACCCTAAAATTTTAAGATATTGTAAACATGCCCCCGAAAAATTCCGAGTTAGACTCTAAAGTTTTGAAATTTTAAAAACACCCTTAGAAAATTAAATTAGTCCCTATAGATTTGAAATATAGCAAAAAACCCCTGGAACTTAAACCAGACTGGAGAGATTGTCGGCTCCCGGTTAGACCAGTCTGATCGACCGGTCTGATCCGGGTTTCAAAACATTGATTTGAAGTAATCTCCTTTTAATTACATAATTTACTCCGACTTGCAGGGGAACGTCTCTACTTATGACTATAATGATACATAATATATAAAATGTTAATAGCTAGATTAGCACATATTATTGAGCCTGCCATAAGCTTTGTCTTAATATTTTTCGTGCTCAGTCGTTTACCTTACGTAATTGAACTTGAAATTGACACCCCACATTCTACATTCTATTTCTATATATAATCTCTTCATTTTTCCTGAAGGATATTCCTTCGACCACATACATAATATTTATTGGAGTAATGTTATGTCTACTAATCAAATTATACTAACCTAAGTACTAATAATTGAAATTTTGAAATTTTTTTTTTTTAGTTTTTTGGGGGAACTGACGTGACAATAAAAGAGGTCTGTCATGTCAGTTTGTACTTGGATTATCACGTCAGTTTGTACTTAGGTTAGTATGATTTTGATTAGTGTACATAGCATTATTCTATTTATTAATACCCAATTTCTTTTTCATAAATGTAAAGTTACCTACATCTGATCTTGATAGAAACCTTCAATTAGCTTTATCACCAAGCTAGAATCTTAACTGAGAGTGATATATATAAAACAAATGGCTTCACGTTTTGTCTCAGTTGATAAATCCAAAACTGAGATGAAAATAATGAAGACAAGCTTGAAAATTTATTAATATCATGCGAATAAACAACTTTTTTCCCACCCAAGGTTTGACAGAGTGACACTGCCTCACCCAAAAAGTTTCAAAATACTACTTTTTCACCCAAAGTATTTATTCCGTTACTACCCAAAGCTGATTTGGGTGGTGAAAATTTTCTCCGTCACCACCATTTGAGCCTCCAGTCTACTCTCTATAAAACCCCCTTTTCACTCCGATGTCTGATTTCTCGCCGATTGTTGGCCACCAGAAAGTTAGAGTTTTCTATTCTTAGCAGATTTTTAACTAATTTTGACGGTGAATATTTAATCGGTTACCACCATTCAATCCAACGGCTAGGGGTGTGCAAAAAAATCCGATATCCGATCCGATCCAAAAAAACTGGATATCCAAAAATTCGGATCGGATTCGGATATCAATTTTTGAAATATCCGGATTTCAGATCGGATATTGGATCGGCTCCACAAAGAAACCGGATATCCGGATCCGATCCGGTTTTGTCCATAACTACAAGTTTTAAGAAGTTATTTTGTGGTCCTAGGTGAAAAGTGGTAAAGTATGTGGACTATTTAGAAATGTGATGACAACTTTAGGGGTCAAAATGTAATAAAATGATGATGTGGTAGGGGGTAATAAGAATAATGCAAAATTTTAGGGGATAAATTGATATTTTTCATACAAATTCGGATAAAACTGGATCAGACGAAATCCGGATCAAATTCGGATCAGGTTTCATCCTGATACGAATTTTCGGATTGGATCAGAAAAATGGAAAACCGGATTGGATATCCGGTTTTGCACACCCCTACCAACGGCATCTACTATACAAAACCCCTCTTACCCTGACTCCTAGTAACTCGCCAAACACCGGTTAAAAAAAGTGAAGTGTATTTTGGATATTAATGGAATATAAACTTGAGTAATGCTATGCTTACTCACGTATCTTACTAACCATCTTACTATCCTTTGTAAATATAAAGTATAGTATAAGTACTTTACGCATAATACAGATACTATATGTAATTTTAACAAAGGTAGTAAGACGGTTAGTAAACTCGTGAGTAAGCATAACATTATTGTATAAACTTTGGGTAAGAAAGTGATATTTTGAAACTTTTTGAGTGAGAAAGTGTCATTAAGGCAAACCTTGGGCGGGAAACAGTCGTTTACTCATATCATGCATTCTTATAGAAGTTGATTTTCTTTTTGTACAATACCATATGTTAAGTTTTATTTGACAGTTACTTCAATTTGATTGCTGTGCACTTTTCACCAGTGATGGAGAAATGGCGACTACCAATGTTCGTGATCAAAATCAGTAATCTTTGATGTAGCAGCATATAAATATATATAGAAAGTGAAAAGAAAGGCAGTAATCTTTAATAAACATGGAAGTGGGCAAAATTATAATTAATTAAATACCATATGATCTGCATAGACATATAAATTAGGAGATAATCAAGGTTTGACTTGAAAGAAAGGTGGTCAGACAAATTAATTGATTACCTTTGACACCACTCTAAAGTTGTTCTAACAACTAGTCATCTCAAATGTTGCTATTCATCGAGCTGTTCTTGTTTTCTCTATGCTTTAAACTACAGAAATCTACTACAATATTTTTTTATCACCTTCAGCTACTCAGTTAACCTCCGTCAACTCTTTATATAAATCCTAACGTATAAACTTCGATGAATACATACTCAAGTTGTTCTATACATCCATCAAATACTCGAGTCTCGACCCTAATTCCCTAAAGAAAAATGGGTTCTTCTCTTCTTCAATCACCAGCACTTGTAGGAGTCCTCTTCTCTTTTGTCATATTGTCTCTGTTTGCTGAGCCTGCACTTGGCATCACTAGGCACTACAAGTTTGATGTATGTGTAATACTATAATATGACCCTACATTCTATGAATTATTTTCAACTTAGTATCTTTTTAACTTATATCAAAATATTTTGCAGGTCAAATTGCAAAATGTGACACGTCTGTGCCATACCAAAAGCATTATATCAGTAAATGGGCAGTTTCCAGGGCCTCGCATTGTTGCAAGGGAGGGTGATCAACTTCTAATCAAAGTGGTTAACCATGTCCAAAACAATATCTCCATCCATTGGTATAAATACATGCACATTTAGCATATTTAGTTTTCAGCTAGACAGCTACCTGGTACAAGATGATATAATATACATTTAAGAAGAAAAATCATTTTTTTAGCTCATATAGGCATTGCAAGTTATATGGTTTGTTTGAAACAGGCATGGCATTCGGCAGCTTCGAAGTGGATGGGCTGATGGGCCAGCATATATAACACAATGCCCCATTCAAACAGGGCAGAGTTATGTGTATAACTTCACCATTGTTGGGCAGAGAGGTACACTGTGGTGGCATGCTCATATATCATGGTTAAGATCAACTCTCTACGGTCCCATCATCATTCTTCCCAAGCGTGGCGTTCCTTATCCATTTGTCAAACCTTACAAGGAAGTTCCCATCATCTTTGGTAATGACATGATAACACACAATTGGAGTTTGGCAATATTTATCCTATCTGCGAATCAGAATTTGCTTAAATAAAACAATATTGTTTTAATTGCAGGAGAGTGGTTCAATGCAGATACTGAGGATATCATTAGCCAGGCCCTTCAAACAGGTGGAGGCCCAAATGTGTCTGATGCTTATACCATCAATGGACTTCCAGGGCCTTTATATAACTGCTCAGCTAAAGGTGTCATATCCCACAACATATTGCATTGTCTGTTTCGTTTCAATAAATTTATACTATGAATAAGATCTTTTTATATGATTTTGCATGAATTTGTGTTGCCAGATACATTCAAGCTGAAGGTGAAGCCTGGAAAAACTTACCTTTTGCGTTTAATCAACTCTGCACTCAATGACGAGCTCTTCTTCAGCATAGCTAATCATACTGTCTCAATTGTTGAAGTTGATGCCGGTTATGTGAAGCCTTTTGAAACTGAAACACTACTCATTGCCCCTGGACAGACAACAAATATTCTTCTCAGAACAAAATCCCAGTACCCAAGTGCCACATTTTTTATGACTGCTAGACCTTATGTGACTGGTCAAGGCACTTTCGACAATTCAACTGTTGCTGGTATTTTAGAGTATGAAAAGCCACGCAACTTTCATTCCAGAAACTCCATCAAAAAACTTCCTCTCTTTAAACCAATTCTGCCTCCTCTCAACGACACTTCATTTGCTACTAATTTTACCAATAAACTTCGCAGCTTAGCAAGTGCACAATTCCCTGCCAATGTGCCCCAAAAGGTTGACAAGCAATTCCTCTTCACCGTAGGCTTGGGAACAAGTCCATGCAACAGTAACCAAACCTGCCAAGGCCCCAATGGAACCATGTTCGCGGCTTCAGTTAACAATGTTTCTTTTACAATGCCAAGCACAGCTCTGCTCCAGTCTCACTTTTTTGGGCAATCAAATGGCGTTTACACCGCCAACTTTCCTATACATCCATCAATTCCATTTAATTACACCAGCACCCCACCAAATAATACGATGGTGAGCAATGGAACAAAGTTAGTGGTACTTCCTTATAACACAAGTGTGGAGCTCATTATGCAGGATACAAGCATACTTGGTGCTGAAAGCCACCCTCTGCACTTGCATGGCTTCAATTTCTTTGTTGTCGGACAAGGTTTTGGAAATTTTGATCCAAACAAAGACCCTGCAAACTTCAATCTTGTTGATCCTATTGAAAGGAACACTGTTGGTGTGCCCTCAGGTGGGTGGGTGGCCATTCGTTTCCTTGCAGACAATCCAGGTGGGTTACAGACAAAGGGCACCATAACGTGCATTAGTTAAATGATCTTCACACATCTTATCGCTGATTCAGACGCGAATTCAATTATAACAATCTAGGGACTAGGACAGATAACTTTATTAGGACTAAATATTTATAGTATATTATATATGTTTTTTTTTTAGATAACTTAATTTAAGTTAATATTGAAGCTCAACTGTCTATCAACAGGGGTATGGTTTATGCATTGCCACCTTGAAGTCCACACCAGCTGGGGTCTTAAGATGGCTTGGATTGTATTAGATGGAAAGCTTCCTGAACAGAAGCTTCTTCCTCCACCTGCAGATCTTCCCAAGTGTTAACGTTATTTTTACTCACTTTTTGGCCCGCTCTGACCAGAAATTGCCTGGATGGTTTTCTTTTTCTTTTTGACTTTTCAATTCAGTTTAATTCTTCAGCGGAATTTATGTTTGTTGATCCATGTGGAGTCAAGGAACAAAGAATGGACAACTTTTTGTAACATGTACAATTCAATGATATTATCCAACTCTCTGATTTGTTTTGCTGAAAATCCTAAATAATCTGTGTACCATGATGTTATTTTTTTGTGTAAACTCTGTTACTGGAAGACTGATATGAGCTGAAAATTGCAAAGAGGGTGATGTCTTGCCTCCATTTTGTTGTAAATTAAGACAAACGACTTTCATTAATAACTTCACGAATCACTTTGCCTTGCACAGACCCAAATAATAATCCTTTGTAATTTCCACATCTAAACAGGCTGCATAATTAGCCTTGTGTTTAAGGACAGCAGACTTTGACATTGTGTTTGTAAAATATCTGGAATTAACGAGAACAGTCCATGGATGTGAATTTGTAAGAGTCCAAATAATCCTGAATTAAATATCAGATTGCACAAAGATTGGCATCTATGCTTACTGCTGCAGACAAAGAGCTTCGGTATTAACTCCTACTAATAAAGTTATACACTATGTTGTTCTCTGTAGAGTCGCTAATACAGTAGCTGACNTTCCTGAACCAAACGCCCCCTAAATAGGGTAATTTGATTAACATTCGAAAGAGTGTTATTCTTTTTATTACCGGGGTAACCCATTGTTCATACCAATTTTACCCTTAATTAATAAATATTTTGGACACAAATGCCCTCCTATGTCTACTAAATAACAAAATGACTTATGTAACCTCATAAATTAATTTTTTGGACATAAATGTCCTCACTATTTACATGAATAATACCTCCAGCCACCCAAGACGATTGTTGGCCGTCGGCCAACACGATCGGTCACCACCGATAGTCACGGGAATGGCGCATGACCGGTTGGATCTAGCATTGTGTGCCGATCTGACTATTTCCGACCAGATCTACAACCATTAACAACAAGAATGGATCTGTCGGCCAACACAGTTGATCACAACCGACAGTCATGGGAACGGCGCATGACCGGCCGGATCTAGCTGACTATGTGCCGTCTGGCCATTTCCAACCAAATCTACAATTGTTAACGACAATAATGGATTTGGACGAAAATGGCCAGATCCACGACCATTTGGCCGTTTCCAACCTTCGATCTGACCGAAAACGGAAAAATCGACGCACAATCAACCAGATCTGATCGGTCGTGCACTATTTTGATGACTACAGGCGGCGACCAATGATGGTGGCTGATTGCCAGTAATCGTCTGGGGTGGCTGGGGTAATTTTGTTAAATTTTAAGCTTTTGTTGTTATGGTGTTTTAGCTAAATTTTCAAATATAGAGGGTTAAAAATACTCTAAATAATAATAATAATATTAAAAGGGAAGGGCAATTAAATAAAAACTACTATGATAATATTTTATTCTTCCCAATCAAATATATTAATTATTTATAATAACCAAACTTCCCAAAAAAAAAAATTAAAAATACTCTAAATAATAATAATAATATTAAAAGGGAAGGGCAATTAAATAAAAACTACTACGATAATATTGTATTCTTCCCAACCAAATATATTAATTATTTATACTTACCAATCTAATCACGCATATTAATATAACATTCTCCAATAATCTTGAAGGTAATATATTTCAATAGTAATCCTATCTTTTCAGTAATAAAAAATTTCCCGAACTATTACCATAGGGTTTTCTTCGTTATCTCTGAGGAAAATAATGAATATAACACTATGCCATTTTATAGTGTAAAAAAAAATAAACCCAATTTTCACCAATTCTTTAAAACACGAACTTTAAATGCCACGCGCCACCAGCTCCATCAAAACACATGCAAGTCAACCGTCATTGGCAGCGTTTGACGATAAAAATAAAGGGTGTGTTTGGTTTATTATTTTAGATAGGATTTTAGGGATAGTATTAGATAGTTGGATAGGGTTATGATTACGAGAATAGGATTTGCAGGATATGTGTTTGGTAGAGTATTTTGACCTTGATATTTGTATTGAATATTTTATTAATATATTTTTTTATAAATGATTTATTAATATAATATTTTGTTGCATTTTGTTAAAATAATGTATTATTATATATATATAACTTATCAAATTACATTTTAATAATACTAAATATTTTATTGGTAATTTTGTCACCCATATATATTAAAAAACAAAAACCCATATTAATTTCAAGTACTAATCCAACTGCTTAAAAACACTACATTAATACATATATGACAAAAGTACTAATTATCAACCCTTACAATCATTATTACACGTATACTCCATTAACAACTATAACATGGTCCACTGTGCCACCCACAGTGCATTCATCATGTTATCCCGTATAATCGTCATGTTGTCCGGTTGACTCGGTCCTTCTCTATTTCGGCCATATTCTGCTCCATTTTGACGATCACAATTTACTTGCTCATTACCTGTACTATTATTGGTTTGTTCGAAGATACGGTCGTCCATATTGTACATTCTAATAAAATTATGAAGTACATAACATGCCATAATAATCTTCTCTTATTTGTCCAACGGGTAATTGTTCATTCCATTTAGAATACGGAACTGTCTTTCAAAATACCAAAGGTTCTCTCGATAATATTGCAGAGTGAAGCATGTCTGTAGTTAAAAAACCGATTACAATCATGTGCCAAATGCCAAATTAAACCCATTCACATGCGTGTGCCAAATGCCAAATAAAAACAAAACCCATTCCAAATACCAAATAAAACAAAAAAAAAACCCATTCAACAATCCATTAACGCAAAAATCATTCTCTGTATCCATTAACGCAAAAAGCATTCTCTTCTACACAGATCAAACAAAAACCCATTCACCCCATTAATGCAAAAGAGCATCCTCTTCTACACAGATCAAACAAAAAGCATTCTCTGTATCCATTAACGCAAAAAGTATTCTCTTTTACACAGATCAAACAAAAACCCATTCACACCATTAACGCAAAAGAGCATCATCTTCTACACAGATCAAACAAAAACCCATTCACACCATTAACGCAAAACATCATCCCCTTCTACACAAATCAAACAAAAACCCATTCACAATCAATTCCTGTCAAACAAATAAAAAACGTAAAACAGCATCTGAGGTGGGTTTGTGAAGGATCGGGTCATGGTGGGTTCGTTTTGGATAGATCGGGTCACGGTGGTTGGGTTGCGAAGGATCGGGTCACGATGGGTTCATTGTGGATAGATCGGGTCACTGTGGTTGGGTTGCGAAGGATCGGGTCACGGTGGATTCGTTGTGGATAGATCGGGTCACGGTGGTTGGGTTGCAAAGGATCGGGTCACGGTGGGTTCGTGTGTGACAGATCGGGTCATGGTGGGTTTGTGTGTGACAGATCTGTCACGGTGGGTTTGTTTGTGACAAATTGGGTCATGGTGGGTTTGTGTGTGACAGATCTGTCACAGTGGTTTTGTTTGTGACAGATCTATTTCCGGGTTCACGATTGGGGATCTGAAGTGGGTTCGCGATGGGTTTGTGACGGAGGCATTTGTGGGTTCACGGTGGTGGGTTCACGTTGGGTTAGGATGTGGGTTTGTGACAGAGGGACTTACAGGTTCACGGTGAGAAGTTAAGCACTGAAGCTGCCACTGGATACTAGAAAGTGAAATGGTGGTAATGCAAATTGGGAAGTGAAGCACTGAACCTGGTAATGGATTATCAAAAACTGAAATGGTGGTGATGGATACTGAGAAAGTGAAGCACTGAAAACAATAATGCAAACTGAGAAGTGAAGCACGAAGCTGGTGGTATACTAAGAATGAGAAAGTGAAATGGTGAAGCAGTGAAGAAAAGTGAAAAAGCAAACTTTAACGGTCAAAAAAAATTTGTCAGGATAGTTGTCAGGATTGAATTATCAGGACAGGGTTATGTAAATAATAAAACAAACGCTATCTAAAGAATCGGGTCCAAAATATGAATAAAAATAACAAGCCAAACATAGCCAAAAATTTTGATATGAATATTTTGGGAGAACGACTTTTCCCCACCCAAGGTTTTGCAATACGATGCTTTCCCACCCATTAAGTTTCAAAATGACACTTTGCCACCTTCCGCCATTATCTGTTAGCGTTTTCCCTTCTAAAAAAGGGTAATAGTGTCAATTTACATAAGCCACAAAAATTAAAAATTAAAAATTTGAAATCATGGTGAGTGTCGCTGAATGGTTGCCACGTCCCACTGAAGTTTGACTTTGAAAAAATAAAAAGGAAGGGAGAACGAAAAGTTGGCTGCCTTTTCTGCCTATTCTCTAGTAACTCTTCCTGCTCTCTAGATCTAAAGTGACTGGCGATCCAGGGTTCTTTGTCGTGCGATCACCACATCTCTTCATCATCCCCAGTAAGGATACACCACATCAGTTTCTTTTCCATCTTTGGCCGACCTATTGACGACAAGGACGTAGCAAAGGCAGCGGCTTTCTATTTTGGTGTCTTGTCGGGCTGAGATAGTTCCTATGTTGTTGATTGATAATGGCAGTGGTTTGAATGCAGGAAAATTCCGGCGACTGGCGACTTAGGGATGGCGACTAACAAAAAGCCAGTTGTGGGTTCTTCATTTTCTGTGATACTGAAGCGAGTAGGGACTCGAGGTTGGTGACTGATGACGACTGAAGGAAAAAAAGGTGAGAAAGCGGCGAGAGAGAGAAAAATACCGATGGCAACAACAACTTGGGTGATCTTTTTCTGTCGTTTTTTTTTTTTTTTTTTTTTTTTTTAAAGGTTAAGAAAAGTCGTGTGTTTTTTGTTTTGTTCTTGTGTTCTTTTAAAGATTTGCTCTTTATGACCTATTGTACCATTACATAATGGAATTACAAAAATGAAAATTTTTGTAAAACATCAATTTGGCAGAGTCAGATTACACTCTAATTTAAAGGAAGTCCTGTTGAATTTAATCTCATATCCTTCACTATCACAAACTTGCAGATTGATAAAGTGAAAACGATGCAGCTGCTTTAGGGATGAATAATTAGAAGGTTGGCTCTTGAATTGCTTTAGTTTTCAAGGACCAACATGCTGAGCCATAACTATACCCGAAATTAAGAAGAGTTAGTACTTGCTCCTTGAATAATAATAATGTATAAATATCAGTTGGCTTGCTGACTGATGTAAGTTTTTTATTGTTGATCATTGAGACAACCATATGTCACCAATATTTCATATGTTTATTCTTTCTTCTGATGCCCAACATGAGAGATCAAGATATTAATTTCAACTTTCTTATTGCAGGGTTTTTTTTTTCTTTAGTTTTGATTTAAAATGTTTTGGCATGTTGCTGGCCACTATTAATAATTTGTTGTCAATGTAACTGTGATGGTAGAACTCCATTGTTGGAGGAAAGGAGTTAGATTTGCAATGGCTCTTTGTGGAGGTTACTTCTCGTGGTGGTTAAAGCTTTTATTTTGTTTCATCCTTCTTAATAAATCTGATGTCTGATGTTTGCTCTTTGTTGTTTTGGTTGTGCACCTTGTTTTGGTCAATGAATTGTCCTTATTTAAAAGACATGGCCAACCACACTTTCTATGCAAATTCCTTGAAAGTAACTAAAATATTATAGAATGGTATATTTTTCTGCGTAGGGTATTGATTCCAACGATGATTTCAAATGTAGAGCTCATGTTAGAAAGATGGAAACATCATGAAGTCAAGGAGATTGAAGTATCCTAGGAATTTACGGTTTTGACAACATAAATTATTTCCAGGACAGCTTTTGGGAGCAGTTCTTAGAAGGAGAAAAAATATTTACCATGTTGACAAGGTTGGGTGTAATGTAATCAACGCCAAAAATCATTATAAAATTTAAGCACCTGATTTGATAAGACGTGGCTTCCTTTTCGTAATTTCTATAATTTGTGGCTACTTAGTTTCATACTTTTTTCTCTATTAATTCTACAATATCATTTGTTGTCTTGGTAGAAAGTTTGTGCAAATCTGTTTTGTTTGTATTGAATTCCCTATTTTTATTGGGTTTCAATTGACAAAATTTCTTATAATTCTCTATTAATTCTACTGTAATTTTACAATCTGGATTCTTATTTTTCAGCTATTAGTAATGTTTGAATTTTGTATATTAATGCCAGTTTTAAGGGTTCTAAATTTTAAAAAATCCAGTGGTAACTTGATTTAAAACATTATTTTTAATTAAAAAAAAAAATTGGAAGGACAAATTGGTAATTTACATTCTCTTATATAGTTGAGGACATTGTAGTGATTTTATAATCAAAGTGGGTATATTGGTAATTGAATTGTTGACATGATATAAATAATAAAAAAATTATTAGGTTAAATATTAAGGATATATTTGTTTTTTCAGTCAAATAGTAACAAAAAACACTAATAGAACATAAGGGAGACTGGGAAAGTGTCATTTTGAAACTTGACGAATGGGAAAGTGTCATTTCACTAAACCTTGGGTTGAAAAATGTCGGTTCTCACGAATATTTTTGTATCACTGATCGAAGATATATATAGTTTAATATAACATTTCAAAAATTAGTTACTTCAATGGGTTTCTGCATTTTTTAAATGTTATATAAGTTTTCTAATAGTAGATATAAAAAATTAAGATTGTGTTTGTTTTAACATCCTATCTTTAATTCTTTATCCTACTCAAAATACATATTTGTTTCTTTAATCTGAAAATTCAATTCTAATTTATTCAACTATTTTAAACCCCCTAGGTTTGTTAATTTAACTAAACACCCTTAAAGTAAAAAAATCTCACCCACATTTACCAAATTTCGACCACTACCGTCGGAAGTTGGCTAGAATCTAGTATAATGGCGTACTACTGGCTGGATCTGACCAGTAATGCATCGATATAGCCTTTTTCGGCCAGATCCACCGTGGATTTAGCTAAAAAAGGCTAGATCTACGGTCAAAGATTTAGCTTAAAGCCAAAGCTTTGGTCGTAGCTGGTTGTCAATGACAACCAAGATCCGTGGATCTAGCCAAAAAATGTTAGATCTAAAGTCAAAGATCTAGTCTAAGGCCAAATCTTTGGTCGTAGCTGGTCGTCAACTTTTTTGCCGTAGATCTGGCCTTTTCCGGCTAGATCCACAATGGATTTGACCCAAAAAAATGTCATATCAACCCACGACCGACCAGATCTAACCAATCATATGCCATTACGATGACTACCGACGACCTTCTGACAGTGGTGACCGACTGTTGACATTTAATGGGTGGGTGAGAGTATTTTTGTTAACTTTCAATATTTTATTATAGGGGTGTTTAGCTAAATTAACAAACCTAAAAAAGTATTTTTGTTAATTTTCAAATTATACCTTGTAAGTATTCCTAGATTTTTCTTTTTTAAAAAAAAAAAAAAAAAACTTAATGAGTTTTATATCAATCGTAATATTCTTATTTTATTGTGAAATTTATGATTTTTAAGCATTTTTTCCATTCTTTTAATTAAATTCAAATGGTAGGAAAACAAAATGACATCTAGAATAGCAATGCTTTCATTCAACTTCCAAAGTTGATGATTTATAACTCAAGGGATTAGTCCGATGGTCAAGAAATTTTTTTCCTTCATTAACTTTCATTTATAACTTACTTGGAACATTAGGCTTATAAAGTGTTCAATGAATCTTAAAATTAGTTGAGATGAGTACAAACGGATCCGAACACCCCAATTATAAAAAAAAAAAAAATGTTGATAATTTATAAAAATAATGTAAAACCGTGGTAATACAAAAAAAATAAATAATAATAAACACCAAAAGATTTGGTTCAATGGTGGCCGTACAATATTTTTATACTGTATTATAAAAAAATTGTCATTTTGTAAATAGATTTAAATTCTCCTACAATCCTGGACGCATACTGAACAATAAGATAAGATGAAATAATGTGTGTGAAATTTGTAGAATATTACAAAGTTTACATGTTACACTCAAATGAAGTAAATAAATTTCTTTCCATTTGAAGATTAAAGTTTCATTTATTTGATTTGATGATGCTGCACTCAACATGCATTAGTTATGCGAATACATGGCATGATATGATTGACAGATTGAGTTTTACCACCATGACCCGCCATCTACATCACCGCGCAAGTACATCACCCCTCCTTGGCAGCGCGTAGAGCTCTTGTTCTAAGCCACTCCACCATATCCCCGAAAACCAACTCGACGCTCTCCTCCGGCTCCCCAACCAGCTGGTGCCACATGCCCGGGTAAATCTTCAATGTCTTATCCACACTCGACGCGCGTTTATACAGATCCTCCACACACGCCGGGTCGCACACCATGTCCTCGCTGCCGTGACATATCAGCAACGGCACCTCAACCTCCTCGAACTTTCCTTGCAGCTCTCTGCACACACGTATCAACTCCAACGCTGTCCCCGCGCGTGGCCTTGTCGTCGGTCTCCTTGGACTCGCCACAGCCAGCTTCCTCTTCCACTCCTCTTTGAAAGACACGTCCACTATAGTCCCGCGAGTCGGTACCACGCACCAAGTGGGGACTAGCCATGCCACTACGGAGAGGAAATGCTCCAACGGCCACGGAGGCTTGAACTTATCGCTAATCCCACACATCGCGCCGTTCAAAACCAAACCACTCCACGCGCCCTTCTGACGTAGCGTGATGTAAAGTGAGATCGCCCCACCTAGTGACTCGGCGTACAGAAACGCCGGCAAGCCGGGCGCGTGTTTCGCACGAAAGGAATCGAAGAACGAAATTGCGTCGTCAACGACAGGATTAATGTCGGGAATGTGCGCCTGGAGTCCGTCCGAGAAGCCGTGACCTTGATGGTCGATAGCACACGTGGCGAAGCCTGATTTGGCGAAGAGAATCGACGACAGCTGGACAGTCCAACTGGACTCACCAGTGTATCCGTGGACGACGCACAGGACGCCGATGGTTTTGGTGGGAGGGAGCGGGGTCCACCACTGAGTGAAGAGCTTCAAGCCGCGTGAGTTGGTGATGTGCTCGGAGGAGTGAGCGACGGAGTGACGAGCGTAGAATTCGTCCGGACTCAGTGAACCGAACGGGCTCTTCTCGTCGGCGTCGGCAACTGGATGTTTAGGCATTATTTCGGAATGATCGTAAACAAAGATTTTTGGGTTCAGTGATAGTAAGGGTTAAGACTTAAGAGTTGAAAGATGAGGATACTTTTGTGCGTGGAGAATTATTGTGTGACGCGAGTTCCAGGATTTTATACTGCTACAGCGCACGAATCATCATAAAATTTAAAAAGTAATAAAACAATCTTAATATGTTATATGATAGGCCTTGAGATTTGTTTTGATTTGATTGAAATAGAAAACCAGCAAATTAGATGGTTTATTTAAAAGTTGGGATTTGGTGTCCTAATTTAATAAATGGAGGAGGAAAGTAGAAGGGAAACGTGCATTTAAGTTGTGAAGAAGGAAGTTGGGGGTGGTAGTAGATGAGGTGGTTGACAGCTATTCACACGAGAAAGAAGCTTGAGTGAATGGGAATACCAAGTCTTCCTCGATACAATTTACTTAACAATAAGATCAGCTCACAATGTGGGTCAACTGGCAATTAGACAGAAACATTCTCAACTGACGAATTATAAATTGTGACATCAAAATTGTAAAAATTAATTATAAGATTAAATTATAAATACAGTATAGTATTACCCTTTCCTTAATTTTGTATATTTCAAATAAATAACTATGATGTAGAAGAGAAGGTACAACAAATTTGATCTTGTTATTATCGCTGCTAACTATCATCATTTCAAATTAAATGTTAAGCGTGTAAGTGTAAGGTTTTGTCTCGAATTTCTTATTTAAAATAATCTATATATTCTACCACCCACATGGAAATCAATCTTTCATTTCAATATATATATAAAATCAAGGTGTTCATGCTACTAACCTAAAGTGAACAGTCAAATCATGCTAGTAACCTAAAGTGAACAGTCAAATAAATTCCTCAGTAATCACCCAAATTAGTGATTAGGTGAACAGGAACCAATATTGAATCTCTTTATTCTTTTATCATCACACTACCGGTGGTTAATAACATGTAATATTCTATACACAAACTAAGCCATAATATTAGATGCTGTGAAAGAATATAGGCTTCGTTTGTTTCGCTTTTAGGAATACTATTATTAGTATTCCCAAAAAAGTTAAATAGCAAAATGTCATTGTTCTCAAAATATTATTCTATATTTTTTAATTTCTTTTAAACCTTTTAAATTTGTTAATTTCACTAAACACCCCCAAATATTTTTTTTAGAAATTACAAAAACACTCCGACCATCCTCCGACAATGGTGGTCGACTATCCGTATTTAATGGATGGATTGAGAGTGTTTTTGTTAACTTTTAATATTTTATTATAAGAGTATTTAGTAAATAAACAAACATAAAGAATATTTTTGTTAATTTTCAAATCTTACATCGTAATACCCACCCAATTTAACCTTTTTCAAAAGATTATTCCAAAAACTATCATAATAAGAGCCATAAAGATTTAATCCAGCTAACAAAGGATTTTCTACCAATAAACTATATAACAACATCGGAGGCAGATGACGAAAAATCACAATTTCATCCCTCAGGTTTGACCTATGTACATTTGAGTCTAGTATTAAATTTTTAGGATAGAATTTCCTCTATCAATTGAGGACACCCATGTGTTTCTTAGGCTAAACAGTCAATGTTCTGAAAACCAGACCAGACGCGTACCGTGGCGTTCGTGACTGAGTTTCAGAAGAAAAAAACTCACAAACTAATAAAACCGTTCTCAACAATCGGACCGTTTTAAACCGTAAATGAATCGTTTAAACATATCAGACGCGACAGTCCAATCGGACCAAACATAAAACCGGTACACACCTAGTATGTTTTCTTTTTTTTTTTTTCTTTCGCTTCAAAAATCCAACGTCATTCATTTTCTCTTTCACCTTTATCATCTTCAATTGGATTCGTCATCTTCAATTGGATTCAAGCTTAGAATGTGAAAAGAAAAAAAAAATTGAGGAAAGGTACGAAAAACAAAGAAAAAAAGAAGAGGAGTGAGAATAGAGAAGAGAATATATGAAAGAGTAGAGAAGAAGAGAGAGAGCCGACAAGAGACAAAAAAAAAAAAAAAAAAGACGAAGGAGAAGTACTAGAGAAGAAGGAGAATAAGGAAGAAAGAGAAGAGGACGGGGAGAAAGAGACTAAAAGAAAAAAAAAAAAAAAGATGAGGTGACAGGTGAGAAGAAGAAAGAGAAAAAAGAGATGAGAGGCGAAAAGAAGAAAGAGATAATGAGGTGACAGGTGCTGACATCGAATTAAAGAGCAGACTTGAGGATGAATGAAAGGTGAAAAAAAAAATGAGGAAAAAAAAAGAAGAGCAGACTCTTATCCGGTTTAGAGTCTGCTCTAGTTTTCAGAACATTAGGCTAATCCTCATGGATGAAATAGTAATTTATGCTCAATTTCAAGTATACTAACTGAGACAATAACCATCATGTGTATCAAATAGAGAAACATAAACCGATTTCCTGTATACAGTGAACAACAAAACATTTCAGTCCAAGTTAAACACACCACTCCGGTAATAGAAAAACAACTTAGACTATGGTCAATGGTACTCATTTTTTACCTTTGACCTTAACAACTGATTTAACAATCCTATCGTATGTACAGATCATCGACGTTGGTGGATTGGCCCTGCTAAGTACTGTTTTAGCACTCTTCTTGATCAATGGCAGCTGAAAGAATAAAATCTCTTATTAAATAAAAAAAATGATGCTAGTCGTTATAATTATTCATGTCTAATTGCATCTTCTGGGGTTGTACAATAGATCTTAAGATTGAAACCCACTCGAATTAAGAAGGGGAAGGATTGGTTTATAATATCCAAAAATATAAAAATAATAATAATAATAATAAAAGAGTTGATGATTTAAATATATTGAAGGTGTTCTATGTAAGGATGGAAAAAGAATGTGCACATAGACATATTTAGAGTCCATACTCTAAAAAAGTAAAAATAACTTTTTTACAAAAAATAATAACAGAGAAACAGTAATAATCATTGACTGAGCAAGTAGCATGTATGGATGAAGAAGCTACACACGGAAATGTAAGAACTTCAAGAAGAAACCTAACGAAAAATTAGGTCAACATCAGCTATGGCAGACCAGATTTATAGCAAAATTCAATTTTATTGAGACCTAATATCCCCAACCAAAAACCATTTCATTATTAACTCAATCATGCCTAGGATCTACTTTCATTAGAGACAATTAGAGAGACGGACATCTAGAATGTAGACCGTATTAGGATTTGGAGGCGGGATTCAGTTTGGTGTTAGATTTAGGTCTTGCCTAACCCTAAAAAATAACAAATTAAATTAAAAAAAAAAAAAAAAAGCAATGAGGAAGAAGAGTGAAATTAACCACATTACAACCCCTCCAAATAAACAGGTGATGGCGGCACACCAATAACTTCATATAAATTTTTAACTCACACTCCTGGTATCCTTATGCATAATAAAAGAGCCTACATACATATTTTTGTGGGACATCAATCCAAAGGACAGCAATAAGCTTTGCAAGAACAAGTTATAAGGGATAGATTTCCCAAACGAGGCAAGTACAATAGCTCTAATATCCATCAAAAGAGAAAAGCTGTTTCAGATGGTCGCCTGACTGGCTGAGCACTTACTGTGATATAAACATCGTCAAAAACATAAATGTTCAACCCATCAACATCATCTCAAAAGGAGATTATACTTAATCAACTAATTGTTGACCCAACTCGGACTGATCATGTTCAACCATCACCATCACCAAGCCCATATCATTATTTTTACTGAAGTTGTTTGATGAGACCACCAGAATGCTGGTGTATGTTAGGAGGCACAAGGGAACAAAGAAGTGGATTATGGGATGTCGGCAGGAAGTTTCATTTGGTATGAGGTGTTAAGTTAGTTTTTAGGAATGGACCAATGACAGTGATCAGATGGACAAGGGAAGGATTCTGTTATTGAGAGAGAAAGTACAGCAGAATAAAATGAGGAAAAGGGAAATGAAGGATTATTGAGAAACGTAGAGGGAAAATTGGGGAGGATGCTGGCCCTCGAAGTCCAGCGTGGTCTATGATAATTTTGTGTCTTTGTTGTTTACTTCCTGTTTTGGATTGGGGTTGGCTATTCCAGTCTTGGTGTGGCTGTTTATCAAATACCAATATATATATATATATATACCCATCAGTTCTGGATTTTGCTGCGTTTATCCTTATATTTCTGGTTTACTGTTTGATTGGTTGTGATTGTTGTGTTGTTTGATTGAGCTGTGAGTGTGGTTCCTATCATTGTTCAAAACCTTGGTAGTGATCTGTTCACCTTCTTAAGAGGCTTCATTAAGTAAATGTAAATTCCATTTGATCCCAAAACTCTTTGTGCAATAACACAAGTAAGCACCCACAATTAGTTCAATAGCTCATCAAGTACTTAGAGCGGCCATTAAAATCTCCAACCTACTAACCAATACAACATCAAACTAACAATACTCCCAAATTCCCACAACCATCCTTATCTAAATTAAAACTTCACTCGATTCCTGGAGTATTCAATCTTACAACCCAAACCTATTTCACAATCTTCATAAAAATCAACAAATTAAACTCAACAAAATAATTAAATAAAAATAAAGTTACCTCCACAGCAGAAGCAGCAGAAACAGCAAGAGGCAACCATAAGTATCTCTTTACAAATAGAAACAAACCCAGAAGGAGAATTTTTCAATCTGGGTGTTTCAGAAACTTGAGCGTTTGTTTGATTGTTATCCAGCAAGAGAGGTTGGTCTTGAGAGCGTCGTTTCTTCTCGCTGTCCATTCTGTTGAGGTTCCATTCCAGTTTCCTTAAGTATGATATCTTGAAAGACTCTCGGATCCTTACGGTCGGCCATAGATGCATTTCCGTTAACCCAAAATTCAACAACAACAAGAAGAAACCCAAAAAAAAATAAAATTCTATAGAGATTATATGAAGAGTGAAGGGTTCTGTGTAGTAAATGGATTGGTTGTCAGTTGAGAGACGAGCCAAGCCAGGGCGCGCCCATTCCTAAGAAAACGACACCGTGGCTGGTTCTTAATTGATATTTGTCGTAATCAATCAATGTCGCTTATGATTTCAGAATTGTTGTTATCGGGTCGGGCCACCTCCGACTGAATTGTCCAAACTCATCCGAGAGCATATTTTTAGGCCCGGCCCAATCCAAATTTGAGTACTAAGATTACATTACTTGTGTTATTATGAGGTTTTATTTTAATAAATATAAATTTGGGGTTTAATTAATGAAAATAGAAATGAATCAATGAGTAACATTGTACTGTATTTGATAATTAATTTTAGTAAAATACATTGCACTTGGTCTGAAATCAAAAAGGGTACTTGATACAGATTTATTTTGTTGATTCAATTTTATGAGAAACTATAAATACAAACCCTTCTCCATAGCTCTACAAATTATATTCTTCCGCATGAATTACTTCTTGAGCTCATCATAGTTGATCTCTTCTCCATCATCCATCCTTCTTCTAATGCATTTGGAACTACTGTTTCTGCGCACCCCCACAACACACAATCATCAAACAACTACTTCGTTTTTTATTAGTTACAGAAACTAGCAGTTCCAAAGGAATTACAAGTTGATGACGGACAAGACATCAGCTATGAATGAGATCAAGAAGTGCATGCCAGGAAGCTGCTTTTTTATAATCAGAGAGAATCAAAATTTATGCAGGATCGTAATTCGTTGCTACTGCTAGCTGGTTTATCTCGAAGTTTAATTATGCGAGCGGTGGTTTGCATTGAAGATTTTTCTAGACAGTTTCATACAATGAAGGTAAGTTGGATCAAAGTTCTTCTGTTATTATATATTTTTCATCATTTTTGAATTTCGTTTCTCTCTTTTTTTTTTCTACTTTATTTCATGCAAATTGGCGGAGATTTCCAGAAGGCTGGCGGGACATTAAAATCAAAGAGATAGTTACAGCTGCTTGGCCTGGTGATCAACCAAGTGTTGGATGTGCTTCATGCTTCGCATGGCCTTGATGAATTATCGGTTTACGAGAGTTTAGAATTAATTTGCAAATGTTTTGGTTGGGTCAAATTAGGTCGTGTAAGCTCAAATGGAGTTAGGTTTTCTATATATGTATTTTGTAATAGTAAAAAATAGACAGCAAGAATGTATTATCGAGTGTCGATAATCCGATACTTTAAGATTATAGTATTTTTTAGATTTTTAAAACTCAATAAAATAATCTATTTGAATACTGAACGTAATTCTTTTATTGAAACGAATTGGGATAAATTGATTGTCTTTTGTTACTTTTTTACTTTTATTATTGTGTGTTTTAGCTGTAGTTTTAACACCAAGAAATTGTTTTTCTATAAGTATTTTGTTACTTTTATTATTGTCTGTTTTGGCTGTGGTTTCAACACTAACAAGAAGCCTTTCTGTTTCATTATCATGGTATGAAATTAAACAATGGAAAATTGGTAAATCCATCCTCATGAAGGAGAAAGTTTCTTCCTAGGTGTGAACGTCGGCCGCAACTTGTTACGGCTTAGTGCTGTGCACATGGTCAACGAACTAGTTACAGCTAAACGACAATAAAACAGCCAAGAATTCATCACTTCATTTTAACCGTTTTTACATATTGGTTTTTGTCTGCACGCTATAAGGATACTCCCAGATTAATACAACCGTATATACATGGTTCATGTTTCTCATCAATGGTGTGCTTCCACAATGATGAACTTTAACATGAAAATTTCTACATGGAGTAAAGTTTTTCACCAAAAGTACTTAAAACAAAATGATGGAAGTTTAGGACATTTAGTTTAATCATCATGTTGTTTTAGGTGGATACAGTGATAGTTATGAGTTGGGTTCCTTAGCAGTAGAAGGAATCGTGACATTAAGGAAATAGGATCATCCAGAAAGTTTATGCTATCACACGGTAGTATTATTGGCGTTGTATCATAAGTTAATACATGTACAATAAATAATTATTGCATTTAAAAACTACCGATCATATTTAATATAAAGATAGATGAAAAAATAATAATAAAATTTCATTTAACGGTGGAATAGATAATGGGATACTACAGTGGTATTTTAGGGTCCGTTTGTTTAATTATTTTTCACTATCCTACCCAAAATACACATTTGTTTCTCTATTCTGAAAATTATATTTTATTTTATTTTATTATTTTTAAACCCCCCAGGTTTGTTAATTTAACTAAACACTTAAAAAAAGTTTAAAAATTGATAAAAACACCCCCACGCATCCACATTTGACAGATTCTAGGCACCACTGCCGGTAGGTGGCCAAAATTTGGTATAATCCAGTCGAGAGTGCATCAATCTAGCCTTTTTTATCGACGCACGACCAACCAGATCTAGCCGGTCGTACGCCAATATGGCTACTCAGGTCACCCTCCAACGATTGTGACCAGCTACCGATATTTAATGGGTGGGTGGGGGTGTTTTTGTTAATTTTGTTAATTTTTTTGGTCAAGCATCTCTTATATAAGTCCAAGTTTGTATTATTTGTCAATAAAGATTTGTTTAATTAGGCTAGTGTTAAGCAACGAGCCTATTAAATAATCACCACCGGATAGTCTGGTGGTAAAATAACAAATGGGTCCAATATAGATTCGTGAGTTCGAGTCCCCCTAAGCACTAATAGGAGTGATCACAAAAAAGATTTACCCGATCATTCACTTAATAACCCTGGAGGATTAGTTGAGGTACACACAAACTAGTCCGAACACCACCAGTAAAAAAAAAAAAAAAAGGCCGATTAAATTCTAAAGTCATAATCTGCATCACTTTGAGTGTTAAGTATGACTCAAAAACCTGATTGACCCAAACCTTTCCTTACCACCCAATTTAGAGCATTTTGATCTTGTGATATATCGTAATGTTGAGGTTTATATTTCTACTCTTAAGTCTTAACCCGTAAATAATCACCTATTTTCATTTTTAAATTCTAATATTGAAGTTCACCTGCAGGAGTTGGATTTTGTTGAAGGACTTTGGGCAAAATAAAATGGGCTCAAGCCCAAAAAGAAATCCATTAAGGATATCTTCTTGGGCCATAGCCCTTGAAAAGAGTGAACAACAACTGAACATGAGAAACTGTATGAACTCTTCCCCTTAGTAGACAAATCCAGTATTCTCTTATAAAATTCCACAACTTTCTGTCATTTTCTATCAAGACAAACAATCAAATTCGTCACTCAACCTCGAGAAAATCCATTTAAAGATCTTCGAATGTTCATCACCCTTCTGTTCAAATGTTAAAAGTTAAGGTTATTAAGTGAAAACCCAATACGACACAGTACAATCAAATCTAATCAATCTTACCCCATACTGTGCTACCTACCAAAGAAAGTTATGTTAAAGATGTATACAAGCTGTATTGTCTCCATCACAAGCTGTATAATTATTATAATGGACAGAAACAATGTACCAAAACCAAAACTTGATACATATTGTTGGACTCTTCTCGATAACTCTGCTATTCGGCTCATCTCTTGGCAATCAATTGCCCATTTGTGGCTACACTGTCATATGCTTATTCAGCCTCCAGCTATAAGAGCACTATAGTGCTTGTTGAAAACGTGAATAACCCTTTTCTGTCATCAAGATAATAGGTACTGAAAAAAAATACAAGAAGTAACTAGATAAGAAGTCCCCATTGAAGAAACTCAAAGGCTGCATTTTAGAGCGCAGAAGAGTTGAGAGAAGCAAGGAAAGCATAAGAGATGGTGTTAACTGTTAATCATTTTTTTTTTTTTTGTTTAAATCTTTTTTTATAATCCAGTAATTCTCCAATTGCATTGGCAACTTGACTTTGAATTAGAGTCCTTTGTCAATCCTGCAAGTGTTTTAGAATAGGAAACAACATTTGACGAAGCCATTAGAACCTTAAATTCTTATTAGAACAAAAATACTCTAACCAATTATATTTTTCAATCAGTTACGCGTACCTTAAATAGATCCTCTCCTCAAACCCTTAAACTAGCGAAATAAAAACTCGTACTATCATATTTTCAGTCACTACATAATTTTAAAATGTAAACTTTGCTCCTAGAACTACTATTTTTTGATCCACATATGGCAGGATATATGGCTCATGAAGTATCTAATTTACCTTCTCATCAAATGTTCAGATTAGTAATGATGCAACGGACCCATTTCCATCTCCTTTCTTTCTAATCCTGTGATGAGGACTGAAGGAGATGAATAAGGAAAGCTTGAATGCTTATTAGACTTTTATCTTTGCATGATCATAATTGCAAGTTCAGTTTCTATGGAAAATGATAATTGAATCGTGGAGAGTTAATTATCATAAATTAAGCTAAGTACCAATGAGATGACAAGTAACTAGCAATACTCACTTCGGAAACCTTTTTCTTAAAGCATAATCACATAGAAAGTATAAAAGACCCATTGAAAGTGAATTCCAGCAAGGTGCTTAAAAGTACAAAAGATGTGTAAAAAAAAAAAAGCCCCTATTAATAAAAGAGAGACTTTTTTTATCTACAATACCATGATCCCAAGCCCCCAGGTTGAGCACCACATACAGGGAATTCCACCATACAAACACACAAACACTCCCTCATTATCACTTCGTTAGAGCCTTCTTCTTCCAATCTTTTTTTGATCCAATGAATCTAAGAAGCAATCTTTTAAGTTAAAACTACTCAGACGTGGGTTTTGCTCCTGAATGACCTAAGAGCCTTGCGCTCCCGCCTCAAGAGAATCTGTGGTAAAGCGGGGATGCTGCGCCAATGAATGCCCACCAGAAGATCCACTGAACCAATAGAAAAACATAACACGTACAATCTTTTGGCTAAACAATAAAAAATAAAAAAATTAAGTCATTGACAATTTGATATTACTTGATCTCCCAAGCCTTGTCCTCGTTGTAATAACACTGCTACCAAGACTCCTAGCAGGGTTGATGCCGGTGCCGGTATCGGAATGGTGGCCAAATGAACCATGAACACGGCAAGCCAATTGGAGTGGTGCCAAAACCTAAA